TAAACCTATTTTATATAACCCCATTCAATTCACATTATTATGAATTATCTTATTTATATGTTTTTTAGATATATTTATACAAGTGTTCATTGTATTCTGTCTATTTACTTTATCAATATTTTTTATGTTACTATTATGATTGCTAACGTTATTATTATTGTTGTCAGCACTATTGTCAATATTAGTATTATTGTTTATTCGTGAAATTAGTTTTCTCCCCTTTCTAATTTTTATCTTATTATTAATTTCTCATTTTTTTACTTCTTTACAACGACGCTCCCAAATTTCTTTTTGTATATGGGATTTAAATTCAATCATGATTTCTCCTATCAGAGTTTCTGTATTCACCTTATTTTTTGTGATGTTATGTATTTTCTCTATAAATTTTATTGATATGAAGCCTATAATTACATCTATAAGTGAAATATTTTGTTTATCAATTGTTGTTGGATCGTTATAAGTTGACAACTTACTCATATTTTCCAAATCCTCTTTAAATTTTTTGTTAATAATATATGAACCATTTTGACTTATTTTATTTATCGTTATTGAAATTAGTTTTTCTTTGTACATTTTTATATCTATTAGATTTTTTTCACATAAAAAAACATGTGTTTAATTTTCTATCACTTTATTACATTGTACACATATATTATCTTTATATACTGATAGAAATCTAGTTTTCATTTTTTCCATTGTTAATAGTTCATTATTTAACATTTTAATGTTAAATGCTCAACTTCAATTGTCTTCATTATTAGTAACTTGCTTTCCTATGTGTGACCTTGTTGTTGTCGCCTATGTCGAGTTCCAGCATATTTGTTCATTTTTTTTATCCGTTAGTTTCGATGTATTTCTGTTAAGTAGTCTCCATTTAACTGAATGTTTTGTCTTACACACTTTTTTGGTGAAATCTCGAGTTGGTTCTTCAATAGGAATCGAATTCCATTGCATTATAGTATTTACTGTCAATAGTAGATGTAGGTTGGAATTACATGGTAGGCTATTACAACCCTCTTTTACTAGTTTGTATGTTATTTCATTAAATTCCTCACCTACGTGTGCTTTAATTTTATTAAGTTTTAATTCTATTCTTTGCATTAGTATTAATTTCTGGATCGCTTTCAACAGTATTCAATTTTTTAACTTTCTATATGTTTTATCTTCTATTTTCTTTTCTGATTATGGCATCTATTGCTACTTGGCTATCTGTATATAACATTAATTTTGAGTTTTTTAGGGTTGCATAAATTACAGTTAAGATCGTCATAATTTCTGCTCTTGTTGACGATGCCACTCTCTCTACCTTTCCTTTAAAAGTAAATTTATTATTCTCTTCATCAAAAGCTATCCATCCACAATCCATTATAGTTTTACCCTCATTATTATGGCTATTTGTTTTTTCCATTGACCCATCTGTATAAATATTTATTACTTTATATTTACTTAATTCAAGACGAATTTGATCAAGATTTTCTTTTATTGTATTATTTTTCCAAAAGTTTCAAATGTTCCAATTATTAATGAGCATTCGTTTGTATAGTTGTCTACAATAATATTTGAAATTGTTAATGTATTTACTCTGTTTTTTATCTGTTTGTTTTTTTCCATTTCTGATATGCCCTCGTTAATAGCTCCCATTTCAGAACGTAGTCATAGTTTATTTTGTTTATTGTCAGATGCTCTGTTGGATACTTTACTTTTAATGGTATTAATACTAATTGAATTTGTTGTTTTTGTTTTAATTAAACATATTTCTTTGTTTATCATTTTTCAGTTAACTCTCTATTACCTTTATCACAGCCCGAGTATTTTTCTAGAATTGAGTTTTCTGTCCTATCATTGTTTAATGCTCTTGTATAATGCATCATGATGAACTCATTTTCATCTATTATTTTTCATTTTTTCCTTATTATTGTATATTTAGTAGATTCATCTCTTATAGTGTCTCATTTAATATCCCAGCTTTGCTTATCTATATTCCATTTATATTTATTAAATTTATTATTTATGCATTTTATAATTTTATTATCAATAATTCATCTATCTGATAGATTCACTAACGTTTTAGATTCTATTATGCTAAACTATGTTGATTTCGGGTCTCTATGCTCGTTACCTACTATTGCTTGCCATCGGAGAAGCTGTTGACTATTATATGATGTTAATTGTTTCAAGTAGAGAATTTGACATAAACGTAGGCTTTTCCTATATATATGGTAATTGTTTTCACTATTAAGAATTTTCTCTATTGTAACATTGCTCCCTTTTGTAATCATACTTTCATTGATGGTATTTGATATTTTGTATGTGATACTGTTTGCCTTGCAAATTTTTAGGATATAATTTATTAACGAATGATTTCCCTTTGTTTTTACATGTTCTCCATATTCTGTTACTGCATAACCAGACCAATAAATATGTTGTAGGTTTTGTAGTCTGATTCTCGTAGATATTCCAAGAACCTTTTTATTATTAATTCTTTCCAATAGGTTACTGCTATACATTTGAAGTTGCCGATCCCATAGGTTACATATCCCATATGCTTCTTTCACAAACATAAGCGCATTAGACATTATACATGGTAATAAGGCTTTATTTTTAATTACTGTTATGAAACGTGTCATTCTGTTTTTGCATTCAGTTTCTGTTAACACCATATCATTTAGGTTATATTCTAGCATCGGGATTATAACAACATTGAAAATATATATTGCTTGTTTATCTGTAATAGGTTTTCCTCTCATGACGTATGTCATAAAATCTGAAAGTTTTTTCATGCGTTCTTTTTGAAACTTCTTTGATCCATTTTCTGTTACATAGACTCCCAGTGATCTCACTGAAAAATCACTTCCCACAGGATTTAAGATCTCGCTATCTATCTTTACACCTCTTTTTCTACATTTCTCCCTGGCATTAATTGTGATTAGGTATGATTTACTTTTATTTATTGTAATATTGTTCATGACAAAAAATTTATTTACAATTTGAAGTATTTTTTTTATTTTCTCTTGTGTGGACGTGAACCAGTTGGTGTCATCTACATATGCTACCACTGTTACTTTCATTTGCATTAATTTAGTTGTTCCATATCTTAGATCGTCAATTCATCTTTCTTTTATTGTATATCCCATGCCCGATTCTGCAATTCTGTATATTAGTGGGTCATAAAAGATCCTCTATAAAATTGGTGAAATAATATCTCTCTGATCAATACCATCTTCTATCCTATATGCCTCTGTATTTCCGTAAGTGGTTAATATAATGTTTTCTCTATTATATAACAATTTCTCTATTATGTTAATAAATCCCACTGGCATTTTAATTTTTCGTAACGCTTTTGATAAACAGTCAGTATTAAATGAGTCAAAGGCCTTACTCATATCTTGGAACATTAACCACAATTCTTTATTTTTTACCCTTGCGTTGTCACCAGTGGTTCCTGAATTGTTCAAGAATCACCTGAGTAGTGTGACTTAATGATTCTTTTAAGGAGTTTATAGTCCTTTCACATAGGTAAGACTGTTGTTTCATCATTTTAGAAGGCACCACTGATTTAATTATTTTAGAAAGGAAATTAGACCTTTCATTTGATTTATTCCAATATCTTTTCCAAATTCATTATCATCCTTAATATTAATATTTATCTATTAATCATCTTTTAATTTTATCAATTTTAAATATTATTTCCAATTATTCAGGTTAATATTATTTTAATTCCAGAGTTTATAATAATGGTTTATAATTAATTTCATTAACTCAGGAATAATAACATTATACAATTATACAATCAAGTATTTAATCCCATAACATCCATTATTCCTTTGTTAACTACATATTGTATCATTTAATAATTATTTCTATAATTTATATTTATATTTTCCAATATTTATTTTTATATTTATATTTTTAATATTTATTTTATTAATTTCATTGCAGGGTAATTTTTTCAAATATTTATCTTGGAGTTACAAATTATAAAATTAAATTTATCAATTTTAAATAAGTTACAAATTATTAAAATTCAAAATTACAAAATTGTAAACTGAAGAGAGACAAGGTAATTTCAGTCCTTTTTTATATCTAAATCTAGTGATCTTTATTACTGTGCCATTACTGTGCCTACTGTGCCTTACTGTGCACTGTTATTATTGATTACTATTATTTACTAAATATATCTGTTACTAATTAATACTATATTTTAATAATTATTGATAAATAATGTTAAGTGATAATAATTAAGTTATGAATTGATAATTATGTTTGTGTAACTAAATATCACGTGAACACGTGATCTTGTACTACTGTTTCGCAACTAATTAATGTGTGTTACAGACTATAAATATTTACTAAAAGAAATTATCAAATTGTTACTATTTGTTACATGAACTAATATTCATTAATTAAATTATAAATATTATTTTAAAGGTTATTATTAATTATTGCAGGTGTTTTAAATATTATATTATCATGATATTTCATTCTGTAACAATGTCATGCTCGTTATAATAATAATTACAATAATAATCATAACAATAATCATTATCATAGCAATAGTGCAATAATAATAATAATTTTTTTATCATCAACATCATTATTGAACTCTAATGTATATATATATTTGAATTATAATCAAAATTACTCTTAGTATTGTGGAAAGTCATTTTAACCGGTATTGGAGAACTAGGTGAAATAAAGAATTTAAAAAATGTGATACGAGAAATCAATGGATTACCTCTAATTCAAGATAAAATAAAGAAATTATGGAATTTATTTATATTTATTATTATTATTTATTCTATAATAAAAAATAATAATATATAATTAATAATAATAATAATATACAATATTAGATGTATATATTTATTCTTAATTATTCTATTCTATTCGATTATCTCTATTTTTTATTTTTTATTTTTTTTTAAATTTAGACGCACTGTAATTTGAATATTTCTCACTACTCTTGGTTGATTCGAACTGTTTTATTATTAATTTTAAAAATGTTCGGACTACAAGATGTGAGCATTACGGTTGAAGTTAAATGAAGTGGAAGATCTCAAGTGTGTATTTTATTTTATTTTATTTTATTATTTTATTTTATTAATAATTTTATTTTATTTTATTAACTATTTTATTTTATTAATAATTTATTTCCATTTATTTTATTTTATTATTTTATTTTATAGTTTCTTTCGATATTGTGCATCAAATAGTGATAATAATAATAGTAATAATAATAAAGAAAGAATTAACTCAAGAAGAATCATCAACGACCAATTTAGAATATTATTATTCTACCAATACTAATACTAATACTGATACTGATTCTACTTGTGATATTGATACCGATACAATTTCATCGCCACCACCACAACAAAAGAATGAATAATAAAAAGAATGAAGAGGATGAAGAGAATGAAGAGAACGAAGAGAATGAAAATGATGAAAATAATGAAAATAATGTAAAAGAGAAACCACAACAATGATGGCGACAACAACAATCTCAATCATTCAATAACCACCACCACCACCGCAATAACAATAATAAATGAATAGATGACTGTTTGAGAAATTTCTTTACGGCAATAAATTTTCTTCGTGTATTACAAAAATTAACATAGAATTTTATTATTGGTTCAATATAAGTCATCGTAAATTATTATTTATTATATTTATTAATTATTAAATAAATATTTATTATTTATTATAGTATTATATTTATTAATTATCAATTAGTTATTATTTAACTAATCTCATCGATTATAATAAATTATAATGGATTATAATAATAATTAATAATTGTTTAGGCCCTTCTCATCCTTTATTAGAATTATACGCTCTTAATATATTAAAAATTCAAATCCCTTTTGTCGGAAGGAAGTGGAAACAAGTAAGTTTTATAAAATTATTATTTATTTTATATTATTATTGATATTTTATTATGAAAAATTTAATATAACAAATAAACAACAACAATAATAATAAATAATTAATAGTTATAATAATAATAATATTAATTAATTAATTAATTATTGGCACTTGAAAATAATTACTTCAATATATTTGAACTGTCGTTCCGATTTAAGGGATTAATGGATAACACCAATTGATGCGAATGCTGAAGCTGAAGAAGCTTTAATTTAATTAATAAATTATTTATATAAATTAATCATTTAACTAATTATTTATCAAAAATTATTTTATTTCTCTCTCCGTGAAAAATAATAATAATAATTTATTTTACCTCACCTTTTCCCTCCCTGTCTTTGAATAAAAATGAAATCCAACAAAATAACAATGATAATAATGATATCATTATCGCAATAGGGTAGCATATTTATATGCCGATTGGATGAGTCATTTATGGAAAATTTGGAACAATGGGTAAAAGATGAAGTTTATAGTTTTTGGTGACCTGACCTCACTTAAATAGTATTGACTAATATTATAATGATGAAATATCATTCTAATATTTTGACACTATAATTATTTTAAAAGTGACTAAATTATTTATTTTTTATAATTAACCTTAACGTTAGATTCTATTTTAATGTCGATTTTAATTAATAAATTATTTCACTGTTTTTCTTTTCCTTTTAGAGAAAAAAGGAAATTTTTGCCTTTTCGGGAGCAAGATTTCCAGGTGCCGCTATTTTCCGAAAAAGGACAAAATTTCCTTCTATATCATTTGAATCTATAAAAGTCAATTTTACCTTTTTCGGATTTAGATGTTGCTCTTTTCCGAAAAAGGTAAAAATTGCCTTTTATATATTTAAATGCCGATATTTTTCAATGTTAAAACTTCTGATATATCTACTGTATATTTAATTTATATAATATAATTACTTTAATATTTAAAGTAAAACGTGATCTTTAACTTAAATATGATTTCGAATATTTGGACAGAAATATTTGCTTTATAATAGTTCTTCATTCGTAGTAGAATTTCTAACTCTTTAGTGGTGAGCATATAACGTAAGACAACTGAGTGAGAAGTGAACGATTTCTTGTTTTCATCTTTGTCAAATTCAGGAATAACATTCTATTCCTTTTTGCCATTACGAAGTCTTGAGATAATTTATCAAAAAATTTGAAGGGCATTTTATTAAGTTGAACAATTAAGATTTAAAATCTTCAATATTAAAAAAAAATGGAAGCGTTAATCATAAAAGTGGAAACGGCCGACCAAAAAAAATAACCCCCGAAGTATCAAATGCGATACGTCAGTATATTCGTCGAGATTCTTCTATTTCATTAAAAGGTATTGCTACCAAGCTATTAAAAAAAGGAATACAACTTCATTTTTCAAATATTTCGAAGTATTTAACGAGTATTGGGTATAAAAAAAGTTTACCAAAAGTCACGCCAATGCTTACACCACGACACAAGGAACGACGAGTCGAATGGGCACGAAAATATTTAAATTGTAACTGGAAAAAGGTTTTATTTACAGACGAAACTGCTTTTCAATTATACAGAAATACAATTTTATATTGGCACAAGGGCAAAAGACCAATCCGGCCTAGGCCAAAAGATCGAACAAAAATTTTTGCATGGGGAGGATTCTGTATAAAAGGAACAACATCATTATTTTGTTTCCAAACGATTATGACGGGTATCTATTACGTCTAAATTCTTCAAAAACATATTCCAGAAGTCAGACAAATGTTAAAAGGTAAATGGGTATTCCAACAAGATAATGATCCGAAACATACCAGCCGGGTTGCAAAGGAATTTCTTCAAAATAATGTTCCCGTAGTAATGGATTGGCCGGCGAATAGTCCCGACCTGAATCCTATAGAAAATTTATGGAGTATCGTTAAAACAAAGGTAGAGCAACGTAAACCAAAAAATTGTCAAGAATTGAAGCGTTATATGGAGGAGGAGTGGACCAAGATTCCAAAAAAAAATTTTAGTGAATTTAGTGAATTCAATGCCAAGACGTTGTGAGGCCGTTATTGAAAATAATGGTGAGGCAATTGATTTTTAAATTTTTATCATGTAAAACGAAGGTTTTAAACTTTAAAATAAAAAAAAAAAATAAATTTTGTGTATTTTCGATTCCAATTTTTTTTTCAAACCACTGTACATACTGTAATTTATAGTACTCCTCTCAAAAACTTATTTTGAAAGTATCCAGGGTAAAATATTTATTTATTAAATTTTACATACAAATCATTTACATAATATATTCGCCAAAAAGTTCATTGTATTGACTATTATTGTTTTCGTTATTATTTTCGCCATTATTGTTTTATCATCATCCGGAAATTTTATAAGGCATATATTTTCAGATCCACGTAAATTTTCGAAATATTTACGTTTTTATGAATTCGCTCACAATTTACGCGACAGAGAACGATTTTCTACTAAGATATTTCTATAATAGATAGAAGTATCTCGTTTAGGGCTACACTGTGATACATTTTTTGTCCATGTAACATCAATATTTGCTGAAATATTTCAATTTTAAGAAAAATGTACGTGTAAAAAATTTTTGAAATATTTACATAGACGTTTTTCTTCAAGCCGGAATATTTCAGCGAATATAGATATTATAAGGATGAAAGAAATATATCATAATGTAGCCCTGAACGAGCTTCATCTATCTATTATAGAAATACCTTTGTAGAAAAGCGTTCCCCACTGCGTAAATCTTGAGCGAAGTAGGTCCTGAAACTTTCGAAAATATCCACCTTATAAATGTACCTAATGATTATCTTTGCCATTATTATTTCATTATTGAAAGCATTCAAAAAATAGTGCAAATGCAGAAATAGTTAAAGTAATGTACCTGAGTACTATACATGATGGTATATCCCAGGCAGTGTTGTCAAGGGACATCTCGGGACAAATGTTGGCACAAAAAAGTTTTTTTAAAAAATGTTAATAGCACAAAATTTTATTATTAAAACCTGCTTTGAGCTATTAATTAAAGTTGTCTAGAATCGGTTTTTATATTTTATTTAATAAGTCTTAATACATATTTATAAGCTAATTAAGGATAGGGACAGTGGGACATCGGACATGCAAATTTGACAACACTGATCCCAGGTACTTTATAATTCTTGTTCCCTCCCACTAAAAGTATCCCCTTTCTCTTTCAATGAAATGTACCAGGATATAAGGTAAAAATGTCAAATTGGTTAAATATCTGTGTATATTGAAAATAAATTATATTACTTTATAATTGTAAAAGATAATTATGAAACATGATTTCAAAAGATAATAATGAACGCATGATATTATAGTCACGTAATTTTATTTTGTATTATTCACATTGCCATAAAATGCACAAATTTTTGTTTTAAAAAATAATTGTGCATTTTATTTTTTTTTATTGATAGTGATAAATATCTTATTATTTTTGGTAGAAAAGAACATACATATATGAGCTTATACATATACATATTAAAGATGAAGATATAATAAATAGCATTTGATTTTTAATTAACTATCTTGCTCATTTCATTTAATTTATGCATCAATTATAAAAGTTAAAAATTAAAATAGTATGGATTTCAGTTTACTTTTACACAGTCAATAATCTGTATAAACACATAATAAATAATAAAAATATTTGAAATATCAAGACAATAATGATTTATTTTAAATGATTACATACTGATCTGCTTTGATTTAAATGAAAGCTATACTCTATAATTCAGTGATCAAATAAAATAATAAAAATATAAAATGTAATAAAATAATAAAATATAAAATGTAATAAAATAAATAAATAAATAATTTTTGAGAAAATAATAAGTTGTACAATAACATCAAGACTAAAAATTAATTTTCCTGAATTTCATTTTCTTCAATTATACAAAATTTAAAGATTGTTAATTTCATTTAAATAATAATATTAAATAAATGATCTAAGAAATATAATGCTCACTTATATTATCAGAAACTTTAAAATCCCATTGTTTTGCATCTAAAATAATAATTAATGTAAATTTTTATATATAAAAATGTTCATTTATTTATTGTCAAAAAATATATAGGTACTTACTGTGTGTATTAGCTTCAAGATTTCTTTATTTTCAGAAAAGGCAAATGTCTACTTGTATATTTTGCTTCAAGATGTATTTCATTTGGATTATATTTAATAAAATTCTCATTTGATTTATCTGCTGCTTTAACTTGTTTTCTTATTTCATCTTCATAAGCATATTTATCAAGTTGAGATTTCAAGTCTTTAGCAGTTGGACGTTTACTAGGTTTAAGATCCCAGCATTTTTCCATTATTTCTTTGAAAAATTCAGGAATTTCACACTTAATTTCAGGTTTATGCCCTTCACAAATTTTCATTACAAGTTTTTCATCATGTGGAATATTATAATATGGTGGATAACTAGTTAGAACTTCCAACATAACCATGCCAAAAGAATAAATGTCAGATGCTTGAGTGTATTCTCCCTTATCCAAAGTCTCAGGTGCCATGTATGGAATTACACCATAAATTTTTTCTGGATCATTTTCTGTAATTGGTTTGCAAAGTTCAACATCAGTAATATAGCATTCAGTCAAAGTTTGATTAACTATATTACCAGGATGAAAATCTTTATGTATTAATTTCATGTCGTGGATATTTTTAAGTCCATCTATTATGGCTGATAAAATAGAATATTTTTTTTCCCAATTCAATTTTTCAAACATGCTATTCAACAGTTCTCGAAGACTACCATATTCAGCATAATTCATGACTATCATATATTCATTTGTTTTTGGATTTTTAGTAATGCCATATATTGCAATTGCATTTATATCACGAAATTTAAGCTGATTTTTAACCTAAAATATTTATTACATAAAATTTAATTATTATATATTTAAATATAATGAAATCTAAATAACGTGAAATATTACCTCCTGCAAAAATCCATTTTTATTTGTGGAACTATAAAGACTTTTTAAGCAAACATCTTTTTCTTTAGGGCTAGTCCTGTGCCAGTTTGTTTCTTTATAATCCCAAGAATAAATAGGCCCATCAAGCCATTTTGCTTTGTATACTGAACTAAAACCCCCTTTAGCAAGAAATCTAATATTCATAAGTTTATCAAATGGAATCCACTCAATAATTTCTTGATGTTTATTTGCATTTAGTTGTGATTGTTGAATAAATTCATTAATTTCTCTATCTTCACTTGTCCATTTATCAAATTCATTTCGAAATCGTTTGGCATTACATGAACGGCACCAATTACTTCCAGTATTCTCTTTCTTACATCCATTACACTTTCCAAGAACACTAAAAATATTATTGATTATTAATTAAAGAATTATCATTAAATATTGAATTAAATTAAAACATTGGTATGAATCTAAATACTCACTTGCTATAATATAATTTATATTGATCAGTTTATTATTGATTAGAGAATTGTTATATGATATTGAATTAAATTGAAATATTGATTTCAATAATTATAAATATAAGTACTCACTCGCTGTAATATTATTAGTTTATAATTGTTTAGAGAATTATTATATAATTTTGAATTAAATTTAAACATTGATTGAGATAATTATAAATCTAAATACTCACTCGCTGTAATATAATTTATATTCATTTGTTTATAATTGATTAGAGAATTGTTATATGATATTGAATTAAATGGAACATTGATTGAGATAATTATTAATCTAAGTACTCACTTGCTGCTGTAATAAAATTATATTGATTAGTTTATATTTGAAAAGATAATTGTTATATGATATTGTAACATTTGATTTGATTTCAATAATTATGAATATAAATACTCACCGACTGTAATACAATTTATATTTGTTGGTTATAATTAATTAGAGAATTGTTATATGAAATTGAAACATTTTAATTTCAATAATTATGAATCTAAATACTCACTTGCTGCAATATAATTTATTTTGATTAGTTTATAATTGATTAGAGAGTTGTTATATGATATTGAATTAAATTGAAACATTGATTGAGATAATTATGAATCTAAATACTCACTCTCTGTAATAATTATATTTATTGGTTTATAATTGATTAGAGAATTGTTATATGATATTGAATTAAATTGAAATATTGAGATAATTATGAATAAAATACTTACTTGCTGTAATATAATTTATATTGATTAATTTATATTTGAAAAGAAATTTATTATGTTGTTTAATTAAATTGAAACATTAATAATTATGAATCCAAATACTCACTTGCTGTAATATAATTTTAGATTATTTAGTTTATATTTATTGATTAGAAATGTAATTTAATATATGTAATTATTTTTAGCAATACATTATGATTCTAAAATTAAGTTTAATATAACAATATGCTTACTCTTTCAACTCTTCCGTTTCTTCCATTTTTGTTTTCGTTTCTTCCACTTTTTTTGTTTCCTTTTCTTCCACTTTTCTTTCCTCTTTTTTCGTTTCCGTTACTTTCAATTCTATTTCCGTTTCATCAATTTTTTCTTCCACTCCTCTTGATTCGGGTTCTTTCATTTCTTCTTTTTCCGCTCCTGCCGATTCATCTTTTCTTGGTTTAGACCTAAAAAACCAACAACAGCCACGTTTTTCCGTTTTTACCATTTCTATTTCTATCTTTTCAATTTGTTAAAGTCTAAAAAAAAAAAGGTATTACAATATAAATTACGTTCTGCGTGTACATTTGTACAACAATAATGATTCCAAATTACTTTATTTGTTATTTAATTATAATTTGTCAAATAAACAAAAAAAATTTTAATTTTTAATTTTTTGATTATTATTATTTTTTAAATCAAAGATATTAATAAATATTTAAAAATACTAGCAAACCTACTAATTTTGTCGTCTTATTTTTTTTAAACAATACGCTTCATAATCCTTCAAATGCTCAGGAGGTGAGGTGTCGCTTCCTCTTATTATTGTTATTGTTGTGTGTTTGGCCTTGACCCACTGATCAACATAGTTATGACCATAAATTATCTTGCCAATGATAGATATACCTAAAATGGTGATTGTTTATTATCACTGATATTTGTGTTATTGTTATTGATATTAGATACGAAATATCGAAAGTTCTATTTCTGATTATCATAAGTGTTGTCAATTAATCTAAAATATAAATTTAAATTTAATATATCCCTTGAATTTTTGAATTTTTGAATTTAATTAATAAAAATTAATAAAAATTAATAAAAATTAATAAAAATTTTCGAGATATTTACTAATTTTGTTATATAAAGGTTTGATGACAAACCTTGATTAAACCACTCTTGCATTATATTATTAGGATATTTTGATAGTTCGCAATTTTTCTTTTGAAAAAGAAAGTTTTTTTTTAATAAACACAAGTTCGCGGTCGGGGCATTTTATTGGTTTGAATTTTTAGCTTATACAAATTGGGTTCGGATTTCTTTTGTAATTCGCAAATATATTAAAGAAACTGATGGCAAAATCTTTATTTTTTTTTTTTAATATCACAACTGTTTTCTCTTTTTTTTAATACCTGAATTGATTATAGATTCCATGATAAGATCTTATTTTTTAATACTTGAGATTTCATAATAAGATCTTTATTTTATTAATATTACTTATTTGATTTCTTCCTTGGAATTAATGGATGAATGAAATCATCAAATAATTCGACAAGATCTTTATTTTGTTTAATAAATTAATTTTACGGCAGATGTCACAGTCGTTTTAAACTGATTATTTTTACAATAGTTTGTGCACAAAGTATTAAAGAAATTAAAATTCATTTAAAAGAATCTAAGTTGACAGCAAAGTAAATTATTGTTAAAATCTTCTTGAAACAAACCATTTTCAAAATAATAAAAATCACATTGTGTTCTTAATTTAAAACTCGATTTTTTTTTTAAATTAGCGAAGGTACGAAAAATTTGCAATCTTGTTTCTTTAAAAATATTTATTCAAATTCGTCTATTTAAAATTAAATTTTGATCAGTGAAGTTTTATACGTATACTTCTTATTTTTGAAAATATTCTTTAGTTAATACTATCTTTCTTCCGTGGCAGAGCCACGGGATTTTTTTTGTTATTCATTTTTTTCTTTTTCCTTTTTACTATTTTTCTTTATCTTTGATGTTTCGGCATCAGGAAATTTTTTTAGGCGTAAAGTTTCGAAGTATTACATAAATATTTCGGAAATTTACGCCTAAAAAAATCTGTTTTTTGAATTCGCTCGCGATTTACGTGACAGAGAGCGATTTTTACTAAGGTGTTTCTAATATGGATTGAAAGTCCTGGTTTTTGGCTACTTGCTGATATATGTTTCATTCCTGTAGCTTCAATATTCATCGAGATATTCACGTTTAAATTCAGACGTTCGTGAAAAATTTCGAAAATTATTTACGAAATTTTTCACAAACGTCTGAATTTAAACGTGAATATCTCGATGAATATTGAAGCTACAGGAATGAAACATATATTGACATGTAGCCAGGAACAAATATCTTAGTAGAAAATCGCTCCCTATTACGTAAATCGCGAGCGTTATCAAAAACGGATTTTTTTATGAATGGTGTAATATTACGTAATATTACACCTAAAAAAATTTACTGATGTCTGATTTGTTGCTATTTGATTTGTGTTAGAGGGTGCCTGTTTCTAATTTTGCGTTTTATGTCTGTACTTAGTGTAGATTATAATTTTTCGTTGCGAGTTCAATGTAATGATAAAACTTTATGTGGGAAGATGTTAGTGTATATATCTCAAAGTTCTGGATGCAAAATTAAAGTGTAAAAAAATTCATGAGTATTTGTAATTAAAAAAAAATTCATATTCCATTCCGTATTATAAGTCAGCTTAGCAAAAGCAAATATTCAAATACTTTCATACTTTCTAAACAGTTTTAATTTGGATGTAAAACGGAACTGCAAAAAATTCATGAGTTTTTGTAATTAAAGAAAAATTCATCTTTCAATTCATTTGTAAGCCAGCTTAGTGAAAATAAATATTTGTCTACTTTCACACCTTCTGAACAGTTTTAATTAGTTGTTCAAATGCGGTTACTTTTACCAATGTACAGTGGGGGTATCAAAAGTCATGGGGCAACAAAAATTAATAAAAAAATCATTAAAGTTAAAATGCTAATTGTGACACTGAGGGTGCACGAATTTCAGATGGGATGTGCACAATATTTCGAAAGTGTTTAGAGTGTCACAGGAGATGACAGTAAGATGACAGTGTAACAGGATGAGTGTGTTACCATCTAGATGACAGATTTTTCATCCTTGTACATTGTCCTTCATCCTTGTGTACCATCTTTAAAAATAGAAAAGGATGTGTTTAGACATGACAACAAAGGATGAAGGAAAACAAATTCAAAAGTGTATAAAATAAACTGGTAATTTAGGATGTGAGGGGAATCAGTTCATTTTTGCAATTTTTATAATTTTTCATTTTCTTTTGGTACATTTCAAATAATTACAAAAATCTTTCACCTAATTTGTAATAAAATAATAAATAATCTTTTGATACATATTTTGTAATAAAAATTAAATAAAAAAGATAGAAACATATTGTTCGATTTAGCAACAGAGACACATCAAAGCAGTGATATATTTTTGTTATTATATCTTTGCAATAAGGTTAATAGTTTTGATATACTCCATAATAAATTTGATACATTTTTAATATTTTATTTTGTGATAATGATAATATTGGCAAGAAATAGTTAACAGCCCGTAATACCTCTATTACTAATTTTGTAATTTCTTGAATAAAGTTACTGAATAAAGTCTGAAGCTAAGATTTGAAAGTTTGCATAGTGAGCTGTAAAAGGATACTTTAACTCCACTTATTCATGTACCTTCAAATAACACCTGTGTGTACTGTATTAGAGTTTATTATATATATCTGCTCATTGCAAATAGGGCAAATAGGCAAGTGACTACTTGATCCTACTGACAAATAGTGGGCATTACGAAATATTACGTACAAGAGTATGTTGAATTAGTACAAAAAGAGATGTGACGAAAGTTCGATTTAGTGAAACTGATTAATGTAACTTTACTCTTTGTTTTGAGCAGACTGCCACAACACAACAAGTGATCTAAATTGCATAAACTTTTTTTTATTCGATTTTCCTAAATCAGATATATTTTGTGTTAAAATTAAATGTCTATAAATAGAGAAATTACACTTTAAAATTTATCACATCCAGTATCGGTATCATTCAAAGATTAAATTTTTTATTTTTTGCCAATTTTATTTAAAGATAAATGGCAACTATCTTATATGAAATTGTAGCTAAAAACAATGTCTACAATTTAATTAAAAGAATTTTTTATAGTATTTAGTAAAAATTTTGACTTTAATTAGACATAAATAAAAATGACCAAAATTTATTAAAAATTTTTAAAAAATAAAAAAAATCTAAAAATAATTATTTATCATTTTTACTAAAGTACTAATAAAAATGATACTAAGTAACATTTAAGTTGAGAATATAAAGCAAATTATGTAAAATATTTAGACAAATTTATCACTCTTTGCAAAATTATGTGGTCATGTGATAAAACGATCTACTAATAAAATACTGAAAACCAGTAATTACAAAATACGTGTCATATGAAAAAATTTATATTATATATTAATAACTAAATTAAAATGCATCAAATAATTGATGAGTATTTAAAGTAATTATTTGTTATATTTTGAATTTTTTTTGAAACTTTCTTATAGTAACTTTTTGCTAATTATAAAATAAGGTAAAAACGATTACTTATAGATTACCTCCAATTACCAAACATTATTGAAGTTGTTTTTTAATTTTATTAGCAAAAAATAGTTATTTATATTGTCTTTTAACATATTATTTGATAATATATATTGTCTTTAACATATTATTTGATAAATATATTCATAATATATTTTTTTTTCTTTAGAAATAATATGGTTCGTGCATTGAGTGAAGATTTACGTTGGAGAATAGTTTATTTAAACTCTGATGGATATAATGTACAAGAGATATCTAATCTTTTACATATAAGTAAATCTACTGTAAATAAAATACTTAATATTTATAGATGTTGGGCATGTGTAGTTAATCCTTTAAAAAAAATTTTGGGTAGAAAAAAATTATTTACACGTAAAGAGATGGATATTTTAAAATCTCTAGTACAAAATAAAGTAGATTGGTATTTGGATGAATTAGTATTTGAGATGGAAAATTATACAAATAAAAAGGTTTCAATATCAACATTGTGAAGAACTCTGAAATATATTGGAATAACTTGAAAAAAGGTATTTTATTATTTTTATTTATAGTATTTATAATTATCCCTTAAATTGTTTTGTGAACAAATTTGTTTGCAATTTATAAAAATTAATGTAAATCTTTTAATAACTTTTTTTAATTTTGGCCAATCATTTTGCCACTTTGCATAACCATACAAGCCAATTTGGCTTCACTGTGATAATCTGATCATAATGTGATACAAAAAAGATAAATCATAATTAACTAAAATATTATCAATAAAAGTAATAAAAACAATGAAAACATTAAACATAAATATCAATAAACATGAGCAACGAAATAAACAAAATAAATAAAATACATAAATGTCTTCTTTGTGAACAAAATTTTCTTTCTAGAAATAAACTTTTAACATATGAGAGAAATAAACATAGAAATAATAAAATAATATCTTATTGTGTTTCCTTTTTTTACCTTCTCTTGATAATCTTGTTTTTTATCAAGATGTATTTATAGTACTTATTAAAAAGCAACTTGGCTTTAATAGAAATTCTATTGGTTTCAAATGATTCTCTATTAATACTTTTCCAGAAAATATTTTATTTATTTATTCCAATATGAACCAACATTTAAATATAATCCAACACAACAAAAATATTCTTGACAATTCAAAGAAAAAGAAGGTGAAGAAAGGCTAAAACAGATATTAAACTATGAATACTGGAGTTTTTGACAAATTCCTATAACAAAAACAAAAGGTTATGTTTTATTAATCAATTGTGAAGAAATATATAGTGTTAATTTTAGCTAGTATGTTGTTTTTTATTTTTTCTTTAATTTAATATTTATTAAAATATTAATAATATTAATAAATATATTATTTTATTAGGTTATTATTAAAATTAAATGAAAATAAATAAACTTTTCAGTGTGGTACTGTAACTTGTACATTTATAACTGATTTTGGAAAGTTTGTTGATAAGTATATATTATTCTGATTATTATTAATTTAATATTATTATAAATATTTATTAATTTAATTTATTAATTATTTAAGAA